CCTTTCTGAAGGACACAACTGAACCCATCTAATGATCCTTTCTTGTCTCTTCCCTTAGAGGCTTCAGAGGGAGTATAGCCCAGTTGATACACTGATTTGCACTTCTATCCACCAGAACTATGAGACAATAAATTTCTGTCCTTATTAGTCAACCATTTTGCAGTACTTTGCTGTAGCAGTCCCAGGAAACTAATACACAAACGTTCCTTTTTCATCCTTCAGATGTTTGAGCTTCAGTTTTTGTTGTTGTTTATAAAAATGAAAGCAATGCTATTCATTTCATTAGTTTGCTGTGAGGCTCAATAAAAACACTTTATGCTGGGTGCCTATCCCCAAACCAGGCACTCTGCTCGTTCTCAAACAAATGAAACCTAACAAAACCTAACCCTTCAACCTTTTCCAACAAAACTTTAAACAATGATTTCCTATATTAAATTCCCTTTTATTAAAATAGCTAGGGTGAGTTCCATTTTCAACATATAAACTCTGCTGACAACATTACCTCTGTTGTTAGGTACTATTGAGTCGATTTCAACTCAGAGTGATCCCATGTGACAGAATAGAAATACTGTAGGGTTTTCTAGACTGTCAGTCTTTATGTGAACAGATCACCAGTTCTTTTTCCCACAGAGCCACTGGGTGGGTAAGAACTGCCAACCTTTCAGTTAGCTGCCGAGTGATTAACTTTTGTACCACCAAGGCTCTAATCAAACCAAACCAAAGCTGTCGAGTCAACTCTGAATCATAGTGACCCTACAAGACAGAGCAGAAATGCCCAATAGAGTTTCCAAGATTGTTAAATCTTTACTGAAGCACACTGCCACATCTTTCTCCTGTGGAGTGGCTGGTAAGTTTAAATTGCCTACCTTTTGGTTAGCAACTGAGTGCTTAACCATTGTGCCACTGGGGCTCTTTACCAGGGCTCTAGGTAACTCCAAAGTAGCATATTATCCTTGACAGCAGGCGCTGACAAACTTTCTCTACAAAGGGCCAGATACTAAATAGTTTAGTTTTTGTAAATCATATTGGGAGCTCTGGTAGCATAGCGGCTAAAGCACTTGACTGCTAACCAGAAGGCTGGCGGTTCAAACTCACCAGCCACTCCTCGGAAGGAAGGTTGGGCAATCCTACTTCCGTAGTGATACTGCCTCGGAAACCCAAGGAGGGGTCGCTATGAGTCGGGGCCAACTC